TTTGACAAGGTTAACTCCTCAGGCGTGGGAAATGGAGCTTGAAAAGGTTCACCTTCCCCCCAGTAGTCGGCCTGGAGATGGAATTTGAAAAGGTTCAATGTCCAGGCGTGGGAAGGAAAACTTGAAAAAGGTTCACTTTCCCGCTTGCGTCTGAAATGAAGAAGGAACTTGAAAAGGTTCACTCCCCAGGTGCGGGAAATGGAGCTTGAAAAGGTTAACTTTCCCCCCTGTATTCGGTCCGGAGGGGAATTTGACAAGGTTCACTCTCCAGGCGCGGGGAGGAGAATTTGAAGAGGTTCCCTGCTGTATTCCCTCGTGTCCCCTGCGGTCTTCCCTCGTGTTCCATGCTGTCTCCTTTGTGTCCCCCTCGTGTCCCCTGCGATCCCCTCGTGTGCTCTGCAGGCCCTCGTGTTCAGGTGTGCTAACCTGACGACAACGTTGATGCTGATGCTGATGGTGGTGCGTATGATGATGCCGACGTGGCCAACGACGGCGATGATCATGATCAGGATGCTGATGAGCATGAAGATGCTGATGGTGGGAGGAAGAGAAGGAGGAGGAGAAGGAGGAGGAGGAAAAACGAGGAGGATGAGGGGAGGAGGGCGGCGATGAGTTTGAGAAAAAGAAAGGGATGAACATGGGGAGGAGGAGGAGGAGCGCTTCAAGGGAGGCATTAGTATCCGTACCACCAGGGCGCCTCGGAGTTGCCTATTTCGGTGGAGGGTTACCCAGCTGCCTGGGACAAGCCCCGACTCCAAGTATCTCAGTCAGTCGACAGCCGTCGACTTCCAATGCTTCCGAAAACGCCAGACACTATCATTCGAACGACTTGCTTCAGAGCGCTTTGGGGTTCCGTAGTGCCCGATCGGCCCAAGTTGTTTGATCGCACGCGTCTTTCGCGCCGACCCATCTCTCTCGCGGCTGTCATGGTGAGGGAGAACGCGATCCCCCCCAAAACCCTCCGCGAGACTCTCGGGGGCGCCGCTGGGGACGAGAGCATCGCTTTCGGCGAGGCCCTCGCGCACGCCGGCGGCATGAAACCCCATTTCCACGCTGGCATCCCACACGGCCACGTAGGGCAAGAGGGGATGTCGAAGATCGCGGATCTTCCTGCTGCGCCCATGAACGTCCACGCAGGCACGAAGATATCTTACTTCGGGGACCTGCTGATGAACCAGGCTTACGAGGAGATCAAGGGCCCTGACGGGAAAACGGTCGGTGTCCTCACTGACTGGAAGGGCCCCCAAGGGCAACCGTGCCGTTTGGACGTGGTCAAGGACCTTGCCACGAAGTCCAATTTCAGTAGCCTCCCTCCACCGTTCAACCTCAAGAGCCAAACTGATGGGCCGCACGTCACGCAGACGTTCGTCGCGGGCGCTGGCGAGGGCAAAGTGTTCATTCTCAGGGGCGTTGGCCTGAAGGGCCAGTTCCTGAAGATGGCCAATCCAAGCCACTGTAGCATGGCACGGGCGTCGTGCATCAGCACGGGGACCAGCGGGGGCAGGCCGCATTGCGATCCGTTATCTCCTGGAGAAACTCGGCTGCCTACAGATTCGCTTGCCCGCGCTGACCGCCACGGCGAAGCCTGGCAAGCGTTCGACCGAGCGGGGTCAGAAGCAGGAGGGGCACGGCAACATCGAGAAGAAGGGTCCGAAGAGCAACAACCGCAATCAGTTCATGGAGTTCGCGGACAGGGACAATCTTCGACCGCGCGGACCCTCTCGGCCGCCGAGCGATTGCGGTTAGCCAACCAGCGCCGCTGTTCCCACGCCCCACAGGAGACCAACGACCCTCAGTCAAAATCTACGGTTGGGAAGAGCCCCGCGTGGCCCGGGCGCTGCGGAACCATGCGAGCGGGCGCGTCAACGCCAAGCGCCTCTCTGTCTGGGTGCTCACGCTGAAGGACTTCGAGCCGCGGTTCATCAACGAAGTGCTCGCGAAGAACCCACCAACTCTTCGCCGCCACGGCGTGCCCTGGATCGGCAAGGCAAGCGCGGGGAAGCCGGCGGCGTCGAAGACACTTGCGTTCTTGATGCCCATGCTCGAGATCGATGCCCTCGAGGGCGATGTCAGAGAGGGCGCGCCCGAGCCTTCAATTGCCACCGCCAAGCATTCTGATTTCTTCGAGGGCGAGCCCGCGGAGAGGGCGCCGCCCGCGGTGTTCGGCGACGGGGACTTGCACGAGCAGGACGCGCCCGCGTTGAAGGCCTTCCTCAACCCGAGCGAGGAGGATTCCACACTGCGGGCGGGGTGGGGGCCCAGCACGCCCCCCCGGGGCGCCCCGCCAGGCCGCGAACAACAGCTACGACAATGCCTCGGAGAAGCGGTTGGTGGCAGAATGGCACCAGAAGAAACCAATGGATATCACGATCCAGCAGATCATGGATCTCATCGCGCCCTCCAGGAAGCTGATCACGGTGGAAGAGGACATGAAGGCCCTGCTCGCGAGGGCCCACGTCGTCGTCACCACGGACACTCGCGTGCATTTCCGCTTGGCATCCGATGAGTTTCCAGAGGGCGGCGCCGTGCCCTTCTACTTATACAGCAAGAAGTCAAAGCCTGGCCTCTTCAATTACTCACCAGAGGCGCGCGCGTGCTTCGGCATGCACAACGGCGACCCGATCTCTCCGAACAACTACCCGCCCGACGTCAAGGAGAAGGCGGAGCGGCCCCTGAATTTCGCGAAGCGCCTGATGCGCGGCGAACAAGTAGCGCCCACTGCACCCGCGGGACCTCGCTCCTCGGGGAGGGGAGCCCGCGCACAGGGTTCAGCCAGAGATCGCGGCCCCGCCAGCGGGCGTGCCCGCGGCCCCGATGGCGCTCCCAGCCGCGCCAGATGAGGGCACCCCAGCCAAGCGGGCGAAACCTGGTGCCTAGGAGGGGCGCGCGGCGTCACTCTCGCGGGCGGCTTCAGTCGCGAGCACCTCAGGGGCGACCGCGGCGACTCCGAGGACGAGGAAGAGCAGCCGCTCGGGACTCCCGCACAAGAGATCGAGCGGCTCTGGGGGCCCCACCAGGCAGGCGCCATCACGCTCAGGGAATTCAACGCATTGAAGAGGAGCGTGATCAGCGACGGGCCCAACGCCTCGCAGAATGTCGGGCCCGCCAAGAAGGAGGACCGCAGCGCCAAGCGGGAGCTGGCGCCTCGCGCGCCGATCAAGCGGGGCCCGACCGAGAGGGCCGCCAAGCGGGAGACGTTCGAGGCGAAGCCCGTGGACAAGGAGACGATCCAGAAGATCCCCCCAGGCCCGGGGAGCGCAGAAGTCGGGCGGCGCCCGCCAGGCGTCATAGGAATCGCCCGTCTGTTGTCCAGCGGGTGCTTGAGTTGCGCGCCGTTTGGTCACCGGCACGGCTGCCCCTCCTGGCAACGTGCAACGGGCGATTCTTCTGCGCACCCTGATTATGCCACCTTGCTGCTGAGCCCCCAACAGGCGCCGCGACGATCGACCCGGGCGCGGACTGAGCGCGGCCGCGGCAGCGGGGGGCCAGGCGCAGCAGGTGAGTATAGCTGCGGTTGGTAGCCGAATTCGCTCGGGGGGGCAAGCGGCTGTTGGGGCGCATCCAGATCGTTGGGGGATGTACGCAACATGTGCCAGCCTTTATAGGCATTCTGCGCTCTTGGCAATGATAGATATCGCACGCGGTGACGCCGTTGCGCCCTTGCCTCTGCGCGTAAACGGCCACGCTGTTATTCCACCAATGGCCTCGCTTGCCCCGCAGCATGTTGGCGCAGTTGTCGCCGTCGGCAATGCCATTGCATCCATCGCCCCCGCCGATGGCGAAGACGGCGATGAAGGCCACGAAGACCACGAAGACCACGAAGACGATGGCGAAGACAGCGACGAAGACCATGAAGATCGCCAAGAAGCGCGTCGCTTCGCGGCGCCCAGCGTCCATGGGGACTGCCCACTTCAAGAGGCGCGTGAAGGGGCCCGCTTGCGCGACGTCTGGAACGACGACGCGGCCTGGGGCCAATTCGAAAGTCGGCAGGGCCAGGGCGAAGGCATTGCTTAGCCCCCGCTGCAATCGCAAAAACGCCGGCAAAGGGAGACGGCGCCACTCGCCAGCAAGGCCAAGGCGGACCACATTGACTTCCGAGGGCTCTGTGGCATCGACGTCGCAAACAGGATTCGCGCCGGCGTGGAGCTCGGGTATTTGCCGCAGATGGAGGGCACGAAGTGCCCACGCGATTGCGGCACTAGTTGCCCCTCCATGTGTTCGCAGACAAGGGGTATCCTGGCGCCCCGTCAACGCGGGCGACGCGGCGCAGGCATCTGGGACTTCACGTAGCGCAGCGCCCTCCAGATAGCGTCGGGGGCGTTGGGCGCTGTGGGGAGGGGCGGTGTTCTATGTGAGATGGGTTGTGCATTATGTTACCTCTTCAGGTGAGTGCGCCGACGTCGCACAGGCACTGCTGCGGCGATTGGGCGCGCAGCGGGAACAAGAAGGGCATCGCGGCTCAGAGCGAGGAGGGCGCCCCCATCTCTCTCGGCGGCAGAGGGAGAGCACGAGCAGGCGAAAGGCTACTCGCTGCAAACTTGGCGTGCACGCCGTGGACTGCGCGCCACCCGGGTCGCGGAGATTGCACGGTCACGCAGGGCATCTCGAAAGACCCCATGGCGTTGTACTTGGACGAGGTGCGCCACCGCATGGCCCAGCTCAGCCTTGAAGAGCAGGCCCGCATCAAGTTCAAGGACGGCATGGTCGTGGAGCTCGACGAGTGCGGTATCAGGGCCGGGCGGGCCAGCTGCAAGAAGCCGTGCGGCAAGTGCAAGACTGAGTGCCCTGGCTACCGCTTGCTCTGGAGCCGTTGGCTCATCATGGTCGAGCGCGGCAACACGGCCAACATGGTTCGCATCCAGCTCCCCTGGGAGACGAGCATGGCTGGCGGCGGCGGCGTGCCCTTGAGCGGGGTCCAGTGCGACAAGGCCGCCAGGAAGCACCTCGGCCGCGGTGCGATCGCCCTGACCGACGGCGCCGGCTGCTACGAGGCTTTCGCCGCTGGCGACTTGATCTGCTCGCCCTGCTGCGACCGCAAAGATTGCCTCGAGCGCGCGAGGGCAGCGGGGTCCGCCAAGCAATGCCTGGGGTCGCGGCCAAGGCACGGGCGGGAGCGCTTCCGCGCCCACTACCGCAAGTTGGCCATGTCACACGGCGTGGTGGGCCACAAGGAGGAGGAGTGGATTCTCGTGAAGGCCGTGCGTGTGCAGGACAAGAAGGGAACGTCCACGTGGTCAAGCTCAAGCACGGCACGGAAGCGGCGAACGGCAGCTGGGACGAGGTCAAGACGGCGCTCCCGTCCTCGATCAAGAGCTCCGACCACGACCGCATCGCCGAGTACGTCCACGCGTGGGCGTGGCGCGCCAGGCGCCGTGGAGCCGACCTCTTCGCTGCTTTGTGCTCGAGGCAGGTGATGGGCTAGTGAGGATCCCGACGTCGGGGACCGCGGGGCGCGCGGGGTTCCGCGAGCATGCAGGGCGCGAGACCATGTTCAGTCGCTACACAATGAACACGTTGCCACGGGGCGGGTGTCCTTTCGCGAAAAAATTACGCTGATCTCCAGAGCGGGCCAGGAAGGAGGAGGAGGAGGAGGAGGAGGAGGAGGAAGAGGAGAGGAGTCGAGAAGAAGGGGAGAATGGACGAACGAAGCGGAGTTGGAAAGAGAGCGTCACCGTTTGAAGCCTTTTAGGGGCCTAGAGCGCCCAACCCTCATCAAGTCTGGCGCCCATCCCCCGGCCCCTCCTCCCAATCGTGTCCATCCCCCTCCTCCTCCTCCTCCTCCTCCTCCTCCTCCTCCCTCCTCCTCCTCCTCCTTTCCTCCTCCTCTTCCTCCTCAACCTCCAAGTCCTTTTCCTGTTCCTCGTTTCCTCCTCCTCATCATCCTCCTCCTCCCCCTCCTCCTCTTTCCCTCCTCGACCTCCTCGTCTTCTTCGTCCTGCTCGTCACCCGCCTCCTTTTCCTCCTCTTCCTCCTCCTCCTCCTCCTCCCTCCTCCTCCTCTCCTCCTCCTCCTCCCCATCCTCCTCCACCCCATCCTCCTCCTCATCTTCCTCCGCCTCCGCTTCCTCATCCTCCTGCTCTCCTCCTCATCCTCCTCCTGTTCCGCCTCCTCCTCCTGCTCTCCTCCTCCTCCTCCTCCTCCTCCTCCTCCTCCTCTCCTCATGTCATCATCATATCATCCATCATCATCATCATGCATCATCATCATCATCATCATCATCATCATCATCATCATCATCATCATCATCATCATCATCATCGTCATCATCATCATCATCATCATCATCATCAGCAGCAGCAGCCGCATCATCATCATCATCATCATCATCATCATCATCATCATCATCATCATCATCATCAGCATCATCGTCATAATCATCATCATCATCATCATCATCAGCAGCAGCGTCATCATCAGCATCAGCATCAGCATCAGCATCATCAGAATCATCATCATCATCATCATCATCAGCATCGTCGTCATCATCATCATCATCACCATCATCAGCATCAGCACCATCGTCATCATCAGCATCATCCTCACCTTCATCATCGTCCTTCCCTTCTTTGTCCGCATCAACCGCATCATCATTATCATCATCAGCATCAGCAGCATCATCATCATCATCAGCATCATCAGCAACATGATCATCAACAACACCAGCATAAGCATCAGCATCATCATCAACATCAGCACCAGCATCATCATCATCAGCATCATCATCGTCGTCCTCCTCATCAGCATCATCATCAGCATCATCGGCAGCATCAGCAGCATCAGCAATAGCATCACCAGCATCATCATCATCGTCATCATCACCATCATCAGTCAGTATCATCATCAGCATCATCAGCATCAACATCAGCATCATCAGCATCATCATATGCATCATCGTCATCAGTGCCATCATCATCAGCATCATCAGCATCATCAGCATAATCAGCATAATCAGCATCAGCATCATCATGATCAGCATCATGATCAGCAGTAGCATCATCACCGTCAGCATCATCCAATTCAGCTTCATCACCTTGAGCACCATCAACATCACCATCATCATCATCGTCATCATCAGCATCAGCAGCAGCGTCAGCATCATCATCAACATCAGCAGCATAATCAGCATAATCAGCATCAGCATCATCAGCATCATCACCATAATCAGCATCCTGATCATCAGCTTCAGCACCATCGTCATCATCATCAGCATCAAGATCAGCATCATCAACATCAGCATCATCAGCATCATTACCATCGTCGTCAGCATCGGCAGCAGCATCATCATCATCAGCCGCATCAGCATCACCATGAGCATCATCAGCATCATCAGCATCACCTTGAGCATCATCAGCATCATCATCAGCATCGTCATCATTATCAGCATCAGCAGCATCATCATCAGCATCATCATCATCAGCCTCATCATCATCATCATCATCATCATCATCATCATCATCATCATCATCCTCATCATCATCGTCAGCATCATTCACACCATCATCATCAGCAGCAGCATCATCACCGTCAGCATCGTCAACATCAGAATCGTCAGCATCATCAGCATCAGCACCAGCATGAGCAACAGCATCAGCAACAGCAGATTCAACATCAACATCATCATCAGTATCGTCATCATCCTCATCATCAGCCGTATCAGCATCAACCTCAGCCTCATCATCAACCGCATCAGCATCATCATCAGCATTGACATCCTCAGCATCACCATCATCATCGGTATCATCATCGGTGTCATCATCAGCATCATCATCATCGTCATCATCAGCATCATCATCAGCATCAACATCAGCATCATCGGATCGGCTGCACCAGCATCATCAGCAGCAGTAGCATCACCATCGCAGCATCATCGTCAGCATCATCAGCATCAGCATCAGCATCACCAGTCTCAGCATAGTCATCATCATCATCAGCAGCAGCAGCATCATCAGCGCCGTCGTCATCATCAGCATAATCGCCACCACCAACAGAAGCAGCACCATCGTCAGCATCATCATCAGCGCTGACATTATGGTAATCGTCGTCAGCATCATAATCAGCGACAGCAACATCAGTATCATCAGAATCATGAACAGCATCATCGCAAGCATCGTCATAATCACCATTATCATCAACATAACCATCAGCATTATCATCCGCATCATCATCAGCCACAACATCATCATCAACAACACTCTTGTCAACATCAGCATCAACCGCATCAGCATGAGCATCAGCATCAGCAGCATCACCATGAGCAGCAGCATTATCAGCATCGGGAAGAGCATCATCAGCATCGTCATCATCGTCGTCGACACAATCATCAGCATCATCACACCCGCCATCAGCATCATCATCATCAGCATCAAGATCAGCATCATCATCATCATCAGCATCATCAGCATCATCATCATCATCCACAACATATGCATCATCATCGGCATCATCATCGTCTTCCTCGGCTTCCTCCTCCTCCTACTGCTACTCTTCCTCCTCCAATTCCTCCCCCTCATCACCATCATAAGCATCATCATTACTCGTATCATCCTCCCTGTCGTCCGTCTCATCCTGATCATCACCCTCCTCCTCCTCCTCCACTTCTCCCACCTCCTCATCCTCATCCTCCTCTTCGCCCTCCTCATCCTCCTCGTCCATTCCTTCCTCTTCCTCTTCCTCCTCCTCCTCCCAATCCGCCTCCACCTCCTCCTCCTCGTCCTGTTCCTCCTCCTCCCCCTACTCCTCCTCATCTTCCTCCTCCAACTCCTCCGTTTCCCCGTCACCCGCCACCAGCCACATCTTCCTCATCCTCCTCCTCCTCCGCCTCCTCCTCCTCCTCGTCCGCCTCCTCCTCCTCGTCCTCCTCCACCTCCGCATCATCCTCCTCATCCTCATCCTGACCCGCCTCCTCATCCTCATCCCCCCATCCGCATCCTCATCCGAGTCGTCATCCTCATCCGTCCTGTTCCTCCTCCTGGATCTCCTCCTCCTCATCCTCCTCATCCTCCTCCTCATCCCCCTCCTCCCCCGTCTCATCATCATCATCATCATCATCATCATCATCATCATCATCATCATCATCATCATCATCATCGACATCATCATCAACATCATCATCATCATCATCATCATCATCATCATCATCATCATCAGCAGCATCATCAACCTCCTCATCCTCATCCTCATCCTCATCCTCATCATCATCATCATCATCAGCATCATCATCAGCATCATCATCATCAGCATCATCATCATCATCAGCATCAGCATCATCATCACCATCATCATCATCAGCATCATCATCATCTGCATCATCATCAGCAGCAGCATCATCATCATCATCATCATCATCATCTGCATCATCATTATCATCATCATCAGCATCATCATCAGCAGCATCATCATCATCATCGACATCGTAAGCATCATCAGCATCATCATCATCATCATCAGCAGCAGCATCATCATCATCGTCATCATCATCAGCATCATCATCATCCTCATCGTCCTCATCATCAGCCTCATCAGCAGCAACATCAGTATCAGCGTCATCATCCTCAGCATCCTCATCAGCATCAACATGACCATCAGCGCCATCAAGATCATCACCATCATCACAATGAAAAATACTAATCCAAACAATGAAAATAAAAATCTTAATCATCATCATCAGCGACATCGGCAACATCATCATCATCAGCATCAGCATCGTCATCATAGTCATCATCATCGTCAGCAGCAGCATCATCAGCAACATCATCAGCAACAACATCCACAGCAGCATCATCATGATCAGCACTACCATCATCATCGTCAACATAATCACCATCATCATCATCATCATCATCATCATCATCATCATCACCATCATCATCATCATCATCATCATCCTGAGCATCATCATCGTCGTCACCGTCGTCGTTGTCGTCATCATCATCATCATCATCATCTTCAGCATAATCACCATCATCATCACCATCATCATCCTCATCATCATCATCATCATCATCATCATCATCAGCATCATCATTGTCACCATCATCATTGTTAACCATCTTCAACAATCACATCGGCATCAGAATCAGCATCATCATCAGCAGCAGCATCACCATCACCACCATCATCATCATCATCAGCATCATCAGCATCAGCATCATCATCAACAACAGCATCGTCATCAGCATCATCATCATCGGCATCATCATCATCAGCATCATCAGCATCGTCGTCAGCATAAACATCACCAGCATCACCAGCATTACCAGCATCACCATCATCATCGTGATCATCTTCATCGTCATCATCGTCATCATTATCATCAGCATCAGCATCATCATAATATTCACCATCAGCAGCAGCATCAGCATCAGAATTAGCATCAGCTTCATCATCATCATCATCATCAACCTCATCAGCATGATCATCAACATCATCATCAGCATTATCATCAGCACCATCAGCATCATCGTCATCCTGAGCATCCTCATCAGCACCATCCTTAGCATCATCATCCTTAGCATCCTCATCAGCATCATCATCATCCTCCTCATCCTCCTCATCCTTATCGTCATCATCAGCATCACCAGCATCATCGTCATCATCATCAGCATCAGCGTCATCATCATCAGCATCAGCTTCATCATCATCAGTAGCATCATCATCAGCATCGTCATCATCACGATCATCACCATCAGCATCAGCATCTTCATCAACAGCATCATCATCAGCATCATCATCGTCGACGTCGTCGTCATCAACATCATCATCATCATCATCATCATCATCATCATCAGCATCGTCATCATCAGCATCAACATCATCGTCATCATCATCACCATCATTACCATCATCAGCATCATCAGTAGTATCATCGTCATCATAGTCATCATCATAACCCTCATCAGCATGGTCACCATAATCACCATAATCATCATCATCATCATCATCATCAGCAGCATCAGCATCATCATCATCATCATCATCATCATCATCATCATCATCATCATCATCATCATCATCATGGTCAGTATGATCATCATCGTCATCATCACCATCATCCGCCTCCTCCGACTCTTCCTCCTCCTTCCCCTCCTCCACCTCCACCTCCTCCTCCTCCTCCTCTTCGTCCTCATCGTCATCGTCTTCATCATCATCATCACCACCATCATCATCATCATCATCATCGTCATCATCATCATCATCATCATCATCATCATCATCATCATCATCATCATCATCATCATCATCATCATCATCATCATCATCATCATCATCATCCTTTCAATGCTCCCTCCTAACTCCACAATTACACAACATGAATACTACTCCCCTCTCTCCCCTGACTCTGCCCAGAGAGTCTCCCGTCATTTACGCGCATTGTTTTTTACGCACAGAATTTCATGATTTGTCCTGTGTTCTTTCAATCGAGTCGTTTCTGGTTTTTCCAGCGGTGTTCCCGCTGCAGCGCCGCCCTCATTTCCGCGCTTCGGTCATTCGAAGTCGTGCTCCCGCTGCAGCGCTGGCCTGGTGCCCGCGCCTCCAGACGGCACTTAGCATGAGAAAGCGCCCACATCGGACAGGCACGGTTGCGGAGGGCATGGAGACGGCATTCCGGACAGGCCATGTCCTCTCGTAGACGGGCAACGTACCCTCCAAGTCATCCCGTGCCACGCCACGGCATGCAATGCGATGATGTGTTGTGCACCGCTGTCCGATGCCATGCTTTGTGTTGATATGCCTTGTGATGCGACGCTTCACTACGCAATGCCACACCATGCTATGACATGCTATGCTCTGCCGTGCTCTTCTACGCCATACTTTTCCATCCAATCGCGTACCCTCCTGGGATCAATGCCCTGCTCAACATCCGACTGTGCGAGCAGATGGGAGATCTGCGCCATGGCAAGGGAAGGGAGGGAGGGGCAGGACGTCAGATGTGACGCTGGCGCACCTAGCTTGCCCATCCCCCCTTCCCCCATCTCCCCTCCCACATCCCCTCCCCCCCCCACCTCCCCCATCTCCCCTCCCCTCCCCCCACCCCCCTCCCCATTCCCCCTTCCCCTATCTCCCCTTCCCTCTCCCTCCCACCCATTCCCCCCCATTCCCCCCCCCCCCTTCCCCCATCTCCCCCATCTCCCCCCCCCGCCCCCACCTCCGACGACGGCAGCGACGAAGACGGAGGGGACACCGACAGAGACGACGAAGGCCGGCCGGCGGCGACCGACCACCGGCCGGCGGCCAAGGCCGCGGCCCGCCTTGGCGTCCGCGCCGCCGCGGGCGCGCCCGGGCCTCTCCAGCGGCCGCTTGGCCTGCGAAGCGCGTCTCCTGCTGGCGATCGTCCTCCTCCTCCCAGGCCTTCTCTCCCCCTCCCCACCCACCCTTCCTCCTCCTCCTCCTCCTCCTCCTCCTTCTCTCCTCCTCCCCTCCTCCTCCTCCTCCTCCTCCTCCTCCTCCTCCTCCTCCCACCCACACCCACCCACCCACCCACCCACCACCCACCCACCCGCCCACCCACCCACCCACCCCACCCCACCCACCCACCCCACCCCCCCCACCCCACCCCACCCCACCCCACCCACCCACCCCACCCCACCCACACCACACCACACCACACCCCCACCCACCCCACCCACCCCACCCCCAACAACCACCCCACCCCACCCACCCCACCCCCACCCCACCCCACCCCACCCACCCACCCACCCAACCCCCCCCACCCACCCACTCCTCCTCCTCCTCCTCCCCTCCTCCTCCTCCTCCTCCTCTCCTCTCCTCCTCCTCCGCCTCCTCCTCCTCCTCCTCCTCCTCCTCCTCCTCCTCCTCCTCCTCCTCCTCCTCCTCCTCCCCCGTTCCTTTTCTCATGAATAGCTTCTCCCTGTCGCACCCCGAAGCCAGTTGATTAGGGCGGGCCAGGCGCTTCGCCCGATAACTCCTCGAAACTTGTGGCCCTGAAACTTGAAATGTGACAACAGCTTCACAGATGGAGGGTGGGCGGTTTTCAAAATGGGGCTCTCGCCTCCGCGCCCCGCACATTCGTTGCTCTAAAATGTGGCTCTCACCTTAGCGCCGCGCACACTTGTTAATAGAATGCGCGAGACCTTCACGGATTAAGGGCGACTGGTCTTCAAAATGTGGCTCCCTCCTTAGGGCAGCGTACATACGTTTTACAAACTTATAAGAGCTTCTCGGATTGAGGGCGGTTCCTTTTCAAAATGTGGCTCTCGCCTTAGCGCCGCGCACACTCGTTAATTCGCTGGCCCAACGGGCCAGAGGCGTGCTAAGATCTCCGGTGACTGGTTAACAATATTCTACTTCGCGCGCGCGGGGCGTCCCCTGGGGGCATTCCCAAGATCAGCGTACCAAACATTGCGTTTAGGAAAGATTCAGGATTATGCGGGCGCAGCAGTTACGTTGATGCGCGCCGTTGAAGCCCCAGGAGTTGCGTTGTGGCACGATTCAGGTTCGTCAAGACGAACCACTGAGGTTGATCCGTGGCGTTGGAATCCCGGAAACAATGTTTCGGCATGCTTGCAAACCTTTTAAACGGTTGTCGTCCGACAGGACCGTTCCCCCAGTGGCAATGAACCGTTGTAGGATCCTATGGAGAGGGAGCTTGGAGGCAGGGCCTATTATAGCAGCATCAGCAACATCGACATCGCCATTATCGTCTGAATCATCACAATCACTTACGTCGTCGTTAGCATCAACACCACCATCAGCATAACCATCAGCATCGGCATCAACATCTTCATAGTCATCATCACCACCGTAGCCCTCATCAACATCAGCTTCATCTTCACAAGCAGCATCGTCATCATCAGCATCGTCATCACCGTCATCACTACCGCCATCATCATCGTCATCAGCACTACCACTACCAACAATAACAGCAACAACATCATCAGCATCATCAGCATCATCACCAGCATGCTCATCCTCATCAGCAGCATCATCGTCGTCTTCATCGGAAGCAGCATCATCAACACCAGCATCGAAAAACATCATCCGTATCATCATCGCCATCACCAGCAACATGATCACCACCATCACCACACATGTCATCAGCAGTCAAATCATCTATATCATGTTCATCATCATAACCATCATCAATATACTCGCCAACAAAAGCATCATACTCGTCATCGTCAGCATACGTGTTGTCTTCGGCACCCGTGACGACAACATCACCATCATCATCATCAGCATCATCATCAGCATCATCATCATCATCATCATCATCATCATCATCATCATCATCATCATCATCATCATCATCATCATCATCATCATCATCATCGACACTATCGTCATCATCATCAGCAGCATCTGCAACACCATCCGCAACCATCATCCACCATCCGTTCTCCACCATCCATCATTCATCATCCATCACCCATCCTTCATCCTCCATCATCCCTCCTCCCTGCTTCCTATTATATCCTCCCTATTACTTGCTACCTCCTCCCTCCGTCTGTTCCTCCTCCTCCTCCTCCTCTTCCTCCTCCTGCTCCTCCTCCTCCTCCTCCTCCTCCTCCTCCTCCTCCACGGATTCTTCCTCCTCTTCCTCGTCCTGCCCCTCCCCTCCTCTCCTCCCTCACCTCTTCCCCTCCCTACCCTCCCCTCCTCCGCCCCCACCCCCCTCCCACCTCCGTCCACCCTCCGCCACCCCTTATTCCCTCCGCCCCTCCCGCCCCCCCCCCCCCTCTTTCCCCAGCATTCCCTTCCTCCCGAGCCTGCTGGGCGCCCCAGCCCAAGTGGCCGCCCAGTGCGCAAGCGAGGGGGTTCGACTTACTTCTCGCGCGTTGATTGGAATCCCACCAGCCCTTTGGGCGTGAGTGGTTTAGCGAGCTTTCTCTGTTCCAACCCCCCAACCCCCTTCTTCCCCTTCGGGGAGGGGTTTACCCCTCCCCCTACCCCCTCCCCCTGGGTCTGGAGAGGGCGGGCCGCGGGTGGTTGGAGGGGTCTGTTTTTCGATTCCTGGGAGGGCTAAAAAAACGACACCCCTCACGAGGATTCTGCCCCCGACGGGGGGACGCACATAGAACCCTCTCCTCTTCTGTGAAGCCAAAATCATTGATTGTTACTACGGTTTCGGCCCCATTTTGGCCTTCTGAGGGGGCAGCGCTCTTCTTCCTTGTTCTCAAAATCGCTGATTTTACAAAGGTTTTGGGCTCATTTTGTCCTTCTCAGGGGGTAGCGCTCATTTGCGTTTCTGCGGAGGTCGCAAGAGGCCCCCAAGAGGCTCCAAGATGCCCCCAGGAGGCTCCCAAGAGGCCTCCAAGAGGCCCCCAAGAGGCCCCCAAGAGGCCCCCAGAGGCTCCCAACAGGCCCCCAAGAGGCCCCCAAGAGGCCCCAAGAGGCCCCAAGAGGCCCCCAAGAGGCCCCCAAGAGGCCCCCAAGAGGCCCCCAAGAGGCCCCAAGAGGCTCCAAGAGGCCGCCAAGCGGCCCCACGAGGAGCCCGAACGACTCACACCAGGACGAGGGGCCCGAACGACTCATACCACGAAGAACCCGAACGACTCACGCCAGAAGGAGGACCCCGAACGACTCCTACCAGGACGAGGCGCGCGACCCATTCACACCACGAGGAGCCCGAGCGACTCACACCACGACGCGCGCCTCGAACGACTCACACCACGAGGAGCCCGAACGAGTCACACCAGGAGGAGGGGCAGCGCTCATACAAGCCCCCCAAGAGGGCCCCCAGAGGTCCACCATATGGCCCCAAGAGGTCCCCAGATGGCCCACAAGAGGTCCCCAGGAGGCACCACGACGCCTCCATGAGGCCCCAAAGATACCCCCAAGAGGTCCCCAAGAGGCCCCAAGAGGCGCCGAAGACGCCCCAAAAGGTCTCCGAGCAGCTTCCAAAAGACATATACTACTACTCTTTCCCCTACGATTACTACTACTTGTACTTCTACTACTACTCATACTCGTTTCACTACATACTGGAAATACCACTACCACTACTACTACTACTACTACTACTACTACTACTACTACTACTACTACTACTACTACTACTACTACTACTACTACTATTACTACTGCTACTGCTACTGCTACTACTACTACTACTACTACTACCTACTACTACTACTACTACTACTACTACTACGACTACTACTACGACTATACTAATACTATACTATACTACTACTACATACATACTACTATTATTACTACTAACTACTACTACGTACTGACTACTACTACTACCCACGACTACTACTAAGAGCTACTACTACTACCTACTACTACTACTTACTACTACTACTACTAACTACCATTACGACTACTACTGCTGCTGCTACTACTACACTAATACTACCCCAACTACTACTACTACTACTACGACTTCTACTCCCTACGGTCTACTACTACTACTACTACTACTACCTTTAGTACTACGACTACTTTTTTTAAAAAAAAAAACTCAACAAAACCCTACTACTGCTACTACTACTACTACTACTACTACTACTACTACTACTACGACTACGACTACTGCTACTACTGTCACTACTACTAGGTACTACTACCACTACTACTACTACTACTAGTACTACTACTACTACTACTACTACTACTACTACTACTACTACTACTACTACTACTGCTACTACCACTACCAGTACTACAACTGATCCTACTGGTACTACTACTACTACTACTACTACTACTACTACTACTACTACTACTACTACTACTACTACTACTACTACTACGACTAGGAGCCGAAGAGGAGGAAGAGGAGGAGGGAGAGAAGGCGATGGGAGGCAAGACAGAAGGCGGTCGTCCTCGAGTCCTACACGTAACCGGCTCTGTCGACTCACACGACGGCGACGTCCTGGACCAGAATGCATGTGGTGTGCGTCGTTGGGGCCCCTCGCCCTGGTGTGAGTCGTTCGGGCCCTTCCTTGTGTGAGTCGTTCGGGCCCCTCGCCGAACGACTCACACATCGAGGAGGGGCCCGAACGACTCTGACCAGGAGGGGGGACCCGAACTACTCACACCAGGACGAGAGGCCCGAACGACTCACACCACGAAGAGCCCGAACGACTCACACCACAAGGAGGAGCCCGAACGACTCATACCAGGACGAGGGGCCCGACCCATTCACACCACGAGGAGCCCGAACGACCCACACCACGACGCGGGCCTCGAACGACTCACACCAGGACGAGGCGCCCGACCCATTCACACCACGAGGAGCCCGAACGACTCACACCACGACGCGGGCCTCGAACGACTCACACCACGAGGAGCCCGAACGAGTCACACCAGGAGGAGGGGCAGCGCTCATGCAAGCCCCCCAAGAGGGC